ATGATTCTCTTGTTGGCAAATCAATAATTTACTCCCCGATGCAATAAAAAGAAATGCTCTCAAGCTTTCAGTCCTTCTCATTAAGAAGATGTCCTTTTGTATCTTTTCCAGCTGATGCTGAAATGCAAGGACAAGAAGTGGTACCAGTTCTAATAGCAGGACGGGGGCCTCGGTCTGCCCTCATGCTGCTGGGAACGATATGCCGCGACGGGACTTTCACTTCAAAAATGAAAGCATTCAAAGAGAGGCACAGTGACTTTGTCTTTATGGCTTCTGGCTTGGCTTCATGCACACACTGTCACATCGCTGAGTGATGAGGACGGGCTAGTTCCCCGTCTAGACCTGCAGCGAGAAGGACGATGAGGAGATGGCGGCATTTGAAGGTCTGAAGATGGAACTGGAAGTGTGTGTGTGTGTGTGTGTGTGTGTGTGTGTGTGTGTGTGTGTGTGTGTGTGTGTGTGTGTGTGTGTGTGTGTGTGTTGTGTGTGTGTGTGTGCGGTTTTTCTGGACCTTACTGTGTAGATAGTCAAAAACTAAGAAACCAACAAGAAATGCATGAAACAGCAATGAATGACTAAAAATATACAACTGCCATATTAAAAAGCAGCATGCTACTTTAACATGAGTCAAACATAAAAAGACATTTTATTTATGATGTAAGCCAACAACACAAATTATGAAAAACGTTCTATTTTTTGAGATATTAACAAAAAATGATATATAAAAAGGGAAACGTATACCTGCATTGCTACTAAGCCAAAAGTTGTGTTACTTTCCCTTTTTTTAATGTTTCTTTTTACTCCCTAGTCTCAGCTCATATTACTTCACACACTATATATACCAAACGCACACAGTTAACTTTGTCGACACACACTTAAAAACCGCTAAAACGTTGTTCGTACTCTGGGCTGCACAGTGCAAATGAAATATAACTCAGTTGTATTAACACTCAGCTCTCAGCAATCTAGTTCCACTTTTCAGCTGCTGCAACTTACAAACCCGTGAAATGAACACGAGAGACGGCGTGGGTGTGGGAGCGTGTTGCGGTCAGTGTGTTTATATCTATACTACAAACTTATATTCACGTGCCATAAAAACCACGGAGGAGCTGATCCGGGTTTCCTGTGGCTCACAGCAGAGGAGAACGGTGACCGTGAAAATATGAAGGCGTGTTTTAGTTGTCCCTGATCTTTGAGTCTATCGCTGCCTTCGTCCGACGTTAGGTCGCATGTGCAAGTGTGAGTGAGGCAGAAAGAGAACCACACCCTCCCTCAGCCAGAGCAGCCAACGTGAACGACACCCTCACATCTCTCTCCACCTCACTCTGCAGTTGGTGCATTCTGGTGTGCAACCCGAGCAGTCGTCTTTTCATAATGACAGGCAGTACTCGTGGTGACTGTCACCGTCTTCGTGATGGGAACATGAAGAGGAGTTGTTTGTCAGTAAGCGGTTCGGGAGATGTGACAGTTTTTTCCAGTGATGTTCAGCCGTCGAGTACGTAAAAAAAAATGAAGGCGTTCGTTCGGTTTTGGTTTCTCTTCCTTTCGATATCGTTCTTGATGACTATGACTATGATATCCTTGTGTCGCAGTCCTATATTTGATGGTTACGGCCTCTTTAACGAAGGCTTTTGTATTTTAAAAACAACAAACGTGTCATGATACATGGTCGTCGTGTATCACATCGTGATTGTGTTACGTGTCAGTGGGTAGCCACACGACAAGGACGAACAACATCGAGTGAGGAGGATATTTTGTACTTGTGTATTTGTCTGTATTTTGAACTGAAAACTCAAACGCGGGATAACCGGCATCCGTCTCTCACACACATCAGACCTTTATGCTGATCGTGGCGGCGTCACGCCCGCGTGAAACGTGCACGGCAGCACATACATCCACAGCCTGAAACAATAAGAGGAACACGTGAATCTGCATTGCTAATCATCTTTGCCTGCTTCCTGTCAGGCGGCTGACACATTCCTGAGGCTCGAGCGGCCTTCACGCGTTTATTTTTACCGACTTCACCTGAAATCCTACAGCCAGGCTACCTGGATTTGGTTCAACGGGGTGTCTAAAACACAGCAAACTAATAATGTCGTTCTCTCTTATCTCTGTACCGTCAATGAGTTTTGTGTAAGTGCAGAAAAAACAACACAAAACCAAAATACACAAAAAAATGACAAAAAAACTCCGATTCTGCTGACAGGGTGTTTTGTTAGAAGGTTTTCGGTTTCTATGTTTTCAGTTTTTATATTAACTGTACAGTTCAATCTTGGGTGAAAGGTGAAACAAAAAAATAAAAAATAAAGTATATTCTTGGGATATTTTCTCGTATATGTTGTACCTGTTACTGCTGGTACTGTATCTGGTATTCTGGCTCTGTCTAAATCACAGGAACGATGTAGTTCTTCACACTGTAGTATGTTAAAGAGGCATTCACTTGGTTTTCAATGATGGCAGCAACGTTTGTCTTATTTAAATGGATTCTACCACTTTTTGTTCTTCTTGATATTATACTAGTGTAATAGAAATTACTTGACAAAAAATGATCTGAAAATATGTTGATGCAACAGCAAATTGAAATAAACATTGATTGATGTACACGGCTGAGAGCTCTCGTCACTAAACCAGCTGTGAGTGCAAAAGCACTTTAGTTTGACCTTTGTTCGGGTAAGTAACCACGTTTTGACCCACAGGTAAAGCCAGGATCAGGTTTATGCAGTTATTGTCATTTACCTTTCATCAATAGTAATAAAGCTTCCAGACTAAGAACTGTCCTTCCTCTGGTAAATTCAACGCTACCTGCCAGGTGAGTCTAATGACATAAAGAGGACTGGAGTTCATCTAAGCTCAGAAATAATTCATGAACTGTGATATTCTGTGATGTTAAGAGCAAAAAGCCTGATTTTACCAGTGCATCATATTTATGTAGAAACTTTAATTATTTTGACAGTTTTGTTAGATTTAGTAGGTCCATAAGTTTTCTGACTGGAACACAGTTTGTGTACTTTTATACACCAGTGCAGTGCATTTATAAATCAATACGCGACTAACGTGCAGACTCCCTGATTTTATTCAAGGTTTAACAAAAGTACTGCATTTACTGTTCATTTCTATGCGCTGTCCCCACTGTCAGAGGCTCAACAATAATTGGCCGATTGACTGACAAACAGTTTAACCAGTTACGCTTTTATCCAAACCCAACGAGCTGTCAGTGGAAGTCGAGGAGGCCCTCGTTAGGCTGAAAAGGAATCAACGTGTCACACAGACAGAAAAAACAGACCCAATCAACCGAAGAAGGCAGCTGAGGTAGATGATCGCAAGTTCTTTCTTTAGTTAAAAAAACAACATTTTAACACTCCAGAGGAGGGAGGAGTGTTATTGTCAAAGAGACACCTTCATGAATGTAAATAAAGACGGTTTACATTCAATTTTATTTATACAGCAGCTGTTGGCTCAAGGTGCTTTATACTGAAGGTAAAGAACTACAATGATATACAGTCAGGGCGATCGTGGCTCAAAGAGTTGGCAGTTCCTCTTGTAATCGGAAGGTTGCCGGTTCGAGCCCCAGCTCGGACAGTCTCGGTCGTTGTGTCCTTGGGCAAGACACTTCACCTCCCGCCTACTGGTGTTGGCCAGAGGGGCCGATGGCGCGATATGGCAGCCTCGCTTCTGTCAGTCTGCCCCAGGGCAGCTGTGGCTACACCTGTAGCTGTTGTTGTGAATGTGAGAGTAAATGAATAGTGGAATTGTAAAGCGCTTTGAGGGCCCCGAAAAGCGCTATATAAATGCAATCCATTATTATATGACCCCCTGTGATCATGTGTGACAGTGGGAAGGAACCAGGAGGCCATCTGCTGCAACTGGTTAGGGATGAGGGGATGAAAACGGGACAAAAGACGCGCTGTGGAGTTAATAATAGATGCAGAGTGGTACATAAACACTTGTTTGCAGTAATGGGAAGAGAAACTGGAGAAGGAGGAAACAGCTCACGAGCCAAAGTTCGGCTATGGCTGCAGTGGAAGAAGGTTGTTCGTCTTTATTGTGACTGCTGATCGAAGCAGCAGGATGAGCTGTGAAGAGCTCAGGGCTTCCTCTCTGCTCACATTCAGATAATCCTGCAGAGCTGATCAGACAGAGCTTCACAGTGCAGACAGATAATGAGCCAAAGCAAACTGCAAAAACAGCCCAAGACTTTCTCAAGGAAAGCAAAGAAAGTCTCCAATGTCTGAGTCAGTGACCTGATCTCAGCCCAACAGAGCAGCTTTAGTTATTAAATACAAAACTTAAGGCAGAGACTCAGAAACAAGCGGCGGAGAGACACTGGCAGAGCATCTCAGGTAAGGAAACAGCACGTGGTGATGTCACCAGGCAGTAAAATATCATTGCAAAGACTTTTATCCAGATACTAAAATATAAAGTTTGTATTCAAAATTATGTTAGTCTGACCAACTACTTCTGAGCCTCTGAGACGGGGAAGATTTATGGGTTTTATTTATTTGAATTAAAGCTGTGAGTTACAAAAATGGTTTAATTTTCCACATATGGCCTGAACTGCACTTTCAAACAGAATATTTAATATTTACACTGGAAAAAAAGTTCGTAAACTTTAACTTCTTTGAAATCTTTCAGGACTTCAGATTTGTACAAATTTAATTTAAGAACATTTCTATTTTGTACAAATAAATATATTAAAATTATATCTAGTAAAACAAATACGACTGCGCCGTATAAAATCACATTAATTATAGTTTGTTATAACTTTCAGGTGACATTTATAACATGTTTATTATCACTTATATTATTACCAGTAGTGGGAGGAGTCATGTTATTGTTATTTAAATATGAGGTAAAGTTTTCATTTCCAACCACTTACATTCAGGCCAGCATGTACCCAAGACTTTAACTTCCGTGTTTCCGTCCAATCACATTTACACCTGGAGCTCCATCGGTCTCTTGGCCAATCGGGTCTCACAACGCGCTCTGTTGTCCCGCCCCCTTTCATTCAGTTAATTGTTTACTCGACTGTAAAAGATTTTTTGAGTTAGCTGCCGGTGTGCTAGCAGCGTTAACGTTCCTGAAACAGCGACACCGCGCTCGTTCTAACCGGATGTGAAATGCGGTGTCTGCGGTGAGTCGTGTGAGTGTAGATGGAGCGAAGCGAAGTTCACACGCTGCACACTGACTTCAGTCCGTCCGCTCAGTTTTCACAGAGTTGAACGAACAATGGCAGTTTGGGCCGGCAGAGGCCGAGAGCTCGCACGACTGTAACCCGTGTGAGCCTGCGCATTGGCCGGTATGTCTGCACTGCGGCCGTGGTGGCTGCTCTTCTGTCTGGCTGTGCTCGGGCATGACCTGCGGGGGTCTCAGGCGGGCTCGGCCCCCAGCGCTGCGAACACTTTAGTATGGGGACCTGGGCTGGAGGCTAGCGTCGTCCTTCCAGCTCGATTCTTCTACATACAGGCGGCGGACAGCTCGGGGAAAAAGTGAGTAATGCGAGGCCTGTGGTATGCGACTCCAGCTGCAGAGCCTGGAGTTTACTGTCGTATCGGGGTGTCAGAATCACATCACTGGTTTTCTCATTATCATGCGCATGTGCAAGCCGGAGACCTCACATGTGACCACGCAGGTGTGATTTAACAGTCAGAAGTACCAAAGGTCTGAATGTAGCTGTGTGCAAAATCACGTCTGTCTCTGAGTCTCCTCCGTATCTCCTCTGTGTCACTATCAGATATCCAGTGCCATGTCAAACCTCTCTGTTCTTTATATTAGAAGAGAAAGGGGACACGAATGTGCTGATAAATATGGAAATGCAGCAAAGAAAGAGTTTATGTGATTGCAAAAAGCGTCAGAGTGAATATTTAGTATGACCGCTTTATTGTTCAGCACAGTCTGAGCTCTCTGAGCAGCTCTGTGAGGACCTTCAGGAACTGTTCTCCAGGCTTCCTGAAGGACAGTCAAAGCTCTTCCTTGGATGTTTCTGCCTTTGCTTGTGTTCTCTGTCAGGATGATCCCACACTGCTTCAGTGGAGCTGAGGTCCGAGTGTCATGCTAAAGAGATGTTTCCAGATGTTCCTGCGTGGTGGATCAGACTCTGTAATTCATCAGTTTATCAAAGAACCTGAAACCATGACACAGCCTCCACCGTGCTTCACAGATGGCTGCAGACGCTCACTGCTGGACCTCCTCCTGACCTCCTCGTACACACTGACCATGATGTGGATCCATCTCTCCATCACACCTGTTCCTCTGACCTTCAGTCCAGTTCTGGTGTCATTTTCAGCCTCAGCCTTTCCTCCTGTTTCCCTTCAGCCGTCCTTCACTGAATCTTCTCTGATGAGGCATCAGTGAACAGTGACCATCGCTCGGTGGATTTTTATGCTTGAATCAGAGCTCCTTTGATGGGGTGTCCAAAGAAAAACACTGAGACACCTTCAGAAAACTGGAGAACTATTGCTCAAGAGAACCTTTAGAGAACATTTTATCTTATCTATTTGTACTTATAAGCCAAAATGCATGACTACAAAAGAACACTATATAAAATAAAGTGTGGTGTTAAATCTGAAGTTTTGACCTGTGAGAGCAGATACGACAGACAAACCACAGGCAGGACGATGTCAGACGGCCTCCAATGACCTTTTTCATCACACAGTTGCAGGAGCTTATCAAAGGTGCCTCCTCTCTGTGGTGATCATGCCTGCTACAGTCATTACTGCACCGTGAGCTGGTGCAGACACACTGACTGTGCAGAAAGTGCACCCAACCATAAAAAACAGTGCACAAGTTGTTACTCTGAGTGACGATCCAAGTTACCCAGACACATCTGTTAGGAGACCACCACGGCACAGATGTTTTCTGTGACACACAAACTTTAAACCTTCTTGTATGTAGAGAGTATAAACTGTGAGTGAGCGCTGAAATGAACCATACGATGATGAACTGGCAAAGGTTCAGTCCGCTGCTTTGTAAACATCGGCTCGTATTTGTTGTTATAAGATGAGATGCTGTCCTCCTGAGCAGCAGTAGATATCTTTGTATTCTCCCTCCTCCCACAGTTTGACTGCATCACCTGGTGAGAAAACCTTTGAAGTAAAGATTGTGTCTCCTGTGGAGCAGTTCACCAGGATTTGGATCCAGGTCCTGGATCGTCGGGATGGCTCATTCCTGGTCCGCTACCGAATGTACGCCACCTACTCGGAGCTTCACATCCACGTTTTGCTGAAGAACGAGCACGTTGCCAAGTCACCGTTTGTTCTCAAAGGTAGGGCGCGGTCCGTGAAGCTGCGATGTTCACTCTGATAAATGACATCATGGACTTGATTCCTGCTCACGCTCCAATCCTGAGTCTTCACCTGCTGTTTTTGCTGGATCCAGAAACTTAATGAGTCAGTGTTGTCGTCTGCAGGCCCGGTCTATCACGAGGGATGCGACTGTCCCCGGGAGAGCGGCTCTGCGTGGGAGGCCCACATGCACTGCCCTCCGTCCTTCGCACAGATAGAGAGGGACCTGTCCTTTTACCCGAGCGTCGACCCAGATCGTAACGCACAGGAGATCCCACAGCGCTTCGGACAGCGGCAGAGCCTCTGCCACTACACCGTCAAAGACAACAAGGTGATTCCACCTGGGGAAACAAACACAGACGTATCATAGATGTTTATGTTTTACCTGAGAGGAAGCTGAGAAAGTCAGCTTGTGGGCCTCTCAGTCATCCAGCCAGGCCTTCTTAAACCACGACACCATGTAGGCCTCTGGACACACACATCAGATCCAAAGGTGAGTGTAGAAGGGAAGAATATGAAGAGTAATGTTCCTTCATCCTGGACCCTGGAGCTGTGTGACTCACCTGTAAGAGCAGAGCCAGGTGTGCATGAGTGCTGCTGTGATAGCGATGAGTCTAACACTGCTCGCATTACATGAGAATATTCAGGAACGTCTCCGCTTCCATGACTAGTTCCCTCTAAAGGTATGACTGTGGTAAAGTGAAATTGATGCTTTTAGTAGTAAAAACTACTACAGTAGTACTTTGCTACTGCATTTCATACTGTGTGTGTGAGTGCAGCCGAGTCCCTTTATCAGAGGTGAATGTGACGAGTGTCACACTTCAGGGTTTCTGTTGCTTTGTTCCGTCCGTCCGTTAAACTGCATCAAAAACTGCTTTGTCTTTGTGTGTTTGTCAAATTTGAATGTGAGCTGTGGATAAATGTGCTCTGTGTTCACTTCATATCTGAACACTTTAAATGAACGAGAAGGATAAAAGTCATTCCCACATTTCCCAGCATGCTGAGTTGTTTAATTATTTTAATGTCTGCATCATTTTACAGCTCTGTCTGTTTTCTTTATAGTTTAATGAAATACTAAAGTCACTGTATCATTGCAGTAACGACTCAGCTGCCACTGACTCCTGTAATCCTGTGCAGCGGTGTAATCTATTACCTGTGAAGGTAATCTTGGATTGGTGAGCAGCTGTTTTCTGTAATGTTGTCTTTAGATCTACGTGAGGACATTTGGGGAACATGTCGGGTTTAGAATCTTTATGGATGCCGTCCTGCTGTCTCTCACCAGAAAGGTAATCTGTGTTTACGTTTACTCAGCCGTCGCTCAGACGACCAGAAACACACTTTGATTTTAATGTCTGTATATGTTGATGCATCAGGGATGAAACGTTCAGACACAACTGGTGCAGTGCATGCTGGTTATCATCGTCATCATCAGTGCAGATATGCGATCAGACGGTGGCAACAGTAATGATTATCATGAAACATTTTCAGGTGCGGCTCCCTGATGTGGAGTTCTTTGTTAATCTCGGTGACTGGCCGTTGGAGAAGAGGAAGCCTCCCGAGAAGCTTCATCCCATCTTCTCCTGGTGTGGCTCCAATAACACCAGAGATATCGTCATGCCGACCTATGACCTGACCGAGTCCGTCCTGGAGACCATGGGGAGGTAAAGCTCTGTGTGGATTCAGCTAAAGTATTGCTACGTTACCACAGAAACTGGCAGTAAATTCAATTCAGTTTTATTTACACAGCACAAAATCACAGCAACAGTCGCCTCAAGACGCTTTATATTGTAAGGTCGACCCTACAATAATACATGCAGACAAAAACACAATCGTATGATTCCCTATCTGCAAGCACTTTTGGCGACAGTGGGAAGGAAAAACTCCCTTTGAACAGGAAGAAACCTCCAGCAGGACCAGGCTCAGGGAGGGGCGGGGCCATCTGCTGTGATTGGTTGGGGTGAGAGAAGGAAGACAGGATAAAGACATGCTGTGGAAGAGAGACAGAGGTTAATAACAGATATGATTCAATGCAGAGAGGTCTGTTAACACATAGTGAGAGAAGAAGAAACCCCCAGTGCATCATGGGAATCCCCAGCAGCCTACGCCTATTGCAGCATAACTAAGGGAGGATTCAGGGTCACCTGGTTCCTGCTCCTCTTCATGTACGCGTGCTCTGCCATCACCGAGGCCGTCAGTAAGCAGGCTGCAGTATGAACCTGCATTTCCTCCTCTCACCTTTCTGCTGTTTGAGTTGATATTTAATGCAGGTGTGATGATGAGAGCTGTTTAATGTTGGACCCTCACCTGTGAGGTTAGTGATGTCACAAACTGCAGAGGATGTAACATTCAGCACGTCCTGTGCCGTACAGGGTGAGCCTGGACATGATGTCGGTTCAGGCCAACACGGGGCCGCCGTGGCCCGAGAAGAACGCCACCGCCTTCTGGAGGGGGCGGGACAGCCGACAGGAGCGCCTGGAGCTGGTCAAGCTTTCGAGGGCTCACCCGCACATCATAGACGCCGCCTTTACTAATTTCTTCTTCTTCAAACACGACGAGAGCCTCTACGGGCCGCTCGTCAAACATGTTTCGTTTTTTGACTTTTTCAAGGTGAGATGAATTATATTCCATAAAAACGCTTTTATTACGTCAGATATCCTTATGCTAATGTGTGTGTGTTTTCATTGTGTCCATGCATCACCAGTACAAGTACCAAATAAACATTGATGGCACTGTGGCAGCTTATCGGCTGCCGTACCTGCTGGCGGGGGACAGCGTGGTCCTGAAGCAGGATTCTGGGTACTACGAACATTTCTACAAGCAGCTTCGAGCGTGGGAGCACTACATCCCTGTCAGGGCAGACCTGGGAGACCTGCTGGAGAAGATCCAGTGGGCGCGTGACCACGATGAAGAGGTGACGAGAACACGTGACTGGATCCTCGCTGGTTTCACTAATGACAAGTGAAGGTGGTGTCATTTTGTTTTCTTCTTTCAGGCAAAGAAAATTGCTCTCGCAGGTCAGCAGTTTGCCCGCAGTCACCTCATGGGAGACACCATCTTCTGTTATTACTACATACTGATCAAGGTAATGTGATTACAGTTTCAGAGTTACTGCACGACTGAAAAAGTATACAATGTTACTACTCACGCAGTCTTACTGTGCTCGCGCTGCGTCGCACTGACACAATGCTGATCATTCTTCATTCGGACCGATGTACATGTGTCGCACTTCCCTCACATGTCATATTTATGCGTGCGAACTAGGAGTACGCCAAACTCCAGGTCACCGAGCCGAAGATCCGGAAGGACATGGAAGTCGTGGAGCAGCCTGCTGATGACCTGTTCCCATGTTCCTGCCACAGGACAAACGTGAGAAACACCCAAATGCTTTGTTTGCTCTGCAGCTTGTGTCTGCAGATCCTAATGATCTTATTTTACTCTTTGCACGTTAAGAAGAGGAAACAACGTTAAATCTGGGATAGTTTTATTATTCTACAGTCTGTGGCGCCATCTGGTGTACGTGAGGCATCACTGCAACCACCAAGAAGGCACGTTAGAGTGAACGTTTGGACCAACGTGCTGTTCTAACAGGAGTGTTTTCATGTTTGTTTTTCAGGTGAAGGATGAACTGTGACTGAGCTCCTCCCACTTCATAACTGACAGCCTTTTCTTTTAAAGTGCCGATCAATTGTATGACTATGGTTTGAATATCTGATTCTTATTTTTCAATAAATGCTTTTAATGTGTTCAGAGCGTGTTTTTCTCTCTGATGTCAGATTATTTACTCAGTGAGGTTTAGTGTCAGCCCTGAGGTTGAGCAGCTGACCGCTGTACCTGTTGGAAAATCAGCCGTGGCCACGCCTTCAGTTTACCTGACGGATAAAACAGAACGGAAAACATTTAAAATAAAAATCGTATCCTTGTGAAAAAGTAAACAAACGGAAGTGTCAAAAAGTTAATGCTGCTGTTTATAACTGACCATTACCCTGTTGCATGGTTTAGATTTGAACCACAAAGCATCGAGTCGCTGTTGGTGAGGAGACACTGCCCTGTACAAAGTGATATTTTTGCTGAGATATTTATCGTGATATATAAAATCAAACGTATAAAATCAAAGATGCTCGGACATGGATAAAACTGAAAGTATGAAACATGATAGAGAGTGTAGGGTGATGTTTCAATTGATCAGATGTCAGTAATATCCAACAATGTGCCAGTGTGCAGGATGACTGGGAAGGAAGGGAAGTGTTACAGAGACTGACCATTATGAAGTATGATGCTGCGTTTCCAGTACGTCCACTGGATAAAGATATATTAAAAAGCGAACAATCTGAAACAAATAATTTTAATGAAACATAACATAAACATTTCAAACCATTTATTTATTTTTTAAAAATAAAAAGTACTTTATATACAGGTTTGGTGACGCTGTAGTGACCACTCCTCCCCGCTAGGTGTCACTAATAGGTATTGAAGTCCTCGGTGTTCCAGAGAAGAAGCTGCTTGTGATGGAGACGTTTGAGGAGGTAAATATGAAAAATAAAAAGCAAACATGTCAGAAACCAGAGTCAGGTTAGAATGAAACGGAACTCGAACCAGGAGCGGAGCACCGAGAGGACGGGTGCACGAGAGGCTAGCGCGCGCCACGACCTGTGGGCTCGGTGTGCTTCGCAAACACACAAACACCTGCGCAGGTTAGAAAGCCTGTAGGCAGTGAGCGCAGCAGGAAGTGTAAGCCTCGGGGAATTCAAAGGTTTCGAGTCTGATTTTGAATAAGAGCGTGGCTGGAACTGATCTCAGACCAGCAGGCAGCTGGTTCCAAAGATCAGGACCACAGTAAGTGAAGCACCTCCAGCCCCGAGCTCTGGCTCTGGAGCAGCTGATGACCTGACAGGTGGGTTAGAGACATGGAGCAGGTCACAGAGGTGCCGGGACCAAACCACAGAATAATAACAGAAGGATCGTAAAGGTCGCAGGGAGCCAGTGTGGAAGTGGTGTGGAGTAATGTGGTCACGTGTGTGTGAGGATGAATGAGCTGATGATCTGGAGAGTGTTACAGTAATCTGCTGGATGTGATGGACCAGTGAGTCAGCTTGAGATAAGACTTCTGATTTTTCAAGTATCACCATGTAATCACCTTCACTGCTCTGTAAAGGTCGGGGGGAGAGTGGTTGGCTGTGAGGTGCTGAATCGGTGCTCGCTGGCTTTCAGGAGGCGGTGAAGGTGCCGTTTGGGGCCAAATCTTTAGATGCTGCCCTGTGCGTCCCTGCCGCCATGTCGGACGCTCACACCGCCGTGATCCTCACGCACGGAGCCGGGGGAGACATGAACTTCAGTCAGCTGGTTTCTCTGGCTCACCAGCTGGCATCACACGGTTTCCTGTGCCTGCGCTTTACATGCAAAGGTTTGAACCTGGCTCACAGGCTGAAGGCGTACACTGCTGTGTGGGTACGTCTTAAAGTCAAAGAAAACTGCACTCACTGCTTTACGTGCAATATTACACGTTTTTTGTAGAGCACCAGTATGATGTAACGTGTGCTGTTTAACGTGTTTCCACCTGTAGGACTACCTGAAGTCACTGCAGAGGTTCACAGTAAAACGCGTCTTTTTTGGAGGTAAGAAGCCTTAAGATGTTCAAAACAAAAGAGGAAGAGCTCAGAGCAGAAACGCTGTCGGGTCATTTTGTCTCACGTACTTCAGTTTGCAAAGTATTGTTGTACCTTAACAGTTTACTTTGGTGGGAAGTGTTAATGTGGTAAAACAGACCCGACGTTGATGTCCGGGGCTTAAAGACCGCACTCTGTCCATGAGCGCCTGCCTTTAACTGATGACATCACCATACCACATCTTCACCTCTGAACCTCCATCTATGTTTCAAGTGAAGACGAGGACATGCAGCAGTGTAGAAATAACTGAGTGGGAGTCCTTGAACACTGTGACGTTTCCACAGGCAGGTCGATGGGGTGTCGTGCGGCTGCAGCTTTAGCTAGGCGACTGAGCGAGGAATCCGAGGCCGCGGTGGAGGGTGTGATCTGCTTGTCTTTCCCCCTGCACCCCCCAGGACAGACGCATGCACACCGCCAACGGAGCGAAGATCTAAGGGTGCTGCCGGCGCACACGCGTGTGCTGTTTGTGTCGGGCACTGAGGACGACATGTGTGACAGGGTGAGGAATGAGATTCATACCTAATGCATGTTTCCTTATTAAACTATTAGAAGACTGTCCTGTGTGCTCATTGTTGCTGTTTGCATGTGGTTCTGATGCATCTGTGTAACGGGACATTGCTCTTGCGGTTTGAACGTGCTGCAGTGCTCACTCTGCTCTGTGTCCTCGCTCAGGTTCACTTTGACACGACGGTGAAAGAAATGAAAGCTCAGGTTGAGATTTTGTGGCTACGAGGAGGCAGCCATGGACTGAAGGTGAAAGGCCGTTCTGAGGTGTCCGTGATGGAGGAAGTGAACCTAAAAGTCATCTCTTGGATCAGGAATCAGGCGGCACAGGCCCCTTCATGTCCTCTCGTTAAATCTGTTGCTTTTGTTCCAATAAATGATGGCAGTATTTCACAGTGGGCGTCTGTGTGAACACACGGGGAGCTTTTATTCTGCACAGTATGTGAAACCCGAATCTTAATGTGCAACATGGTGATGAATGTTGATAAATCAGTCTGTGCAGACATTACTCTTCCTCACACTTCCTCTCCGTATTCATCTGAAGTCATAACTCATTACAGTTTAAAGGTGTTTTTCTGCTGCACAGACTACTTTTAGCAGCACTAAAAACTATGCAACAAACAGTTCAGGAGTTGTACACGAGAAGACGTTTGTTTGGGATTGAGGAGCCTTAATGTGTTACATAAGAACAGTCCTGGTTTATGGGTCAGGAGGAGCCCCTCAGAGGCCGCCTGCAGCACAAAGGAGAACACCGAGGGGATGGTGATGCTGTCGGGTTGTGAGAGGAGCTGAAAGAAACTCTTTCACATGGAGGTTTTCACATCGACCCCTCGCTGAAGTTCCTCTATGAGTGTAAAGTGGAAGACGACCCTCGGTTTGAAGTTGAGTGCTTGCTTCCTGCCTGTACTGTCACAATAAAGGGCTGTTCTCCTGACAGCACCTTGTGGCACAGCGGTGGTTTGTGCTGTGTTTCAGTATAAAGGTCACTTTTTCAGGGGCTTCAGTTTTGACCCTCACCGTGTTTGTTTGGATGAAATAATTATTCTGTTATTGTGTGCAAACAGGAATAACGTATATGTTTACAAATGCTGTGTTAATAATCCATTGCTCTATTAAAACACGTTTATTGTCATTATCCTCGTTGTGTTTTCATAATTTTAATATTTATTGGCCTTTATCGTTTCTACGCTTTTGTTCTGATCAGTTCCTGATAACTACTCCGAGTAATCATTTGTGTTGTAAGTACTTTAGCAGAGCACACTCGGCGACTGCGGTGCCTTTAACACAGACGATGACGTTTACGCGTGCTCGTACGCCATTGGCTGTGGGACTTCCGGGTCGTATTTTGTTTTTCAGGCAGACTCGAGCATGGCCGTGGAGCTCTGGAACAGAGTCAACGTCCCTTTTCCCAGCGCCGTGTCCGCTGTCCGCGTGCCCTTCACCGCACAGACAGGTACGAGCCGCAGCGCGCGGTCACTGACGTGCTGTGTGCGAAATAACACGCCGCATGCGACCCACGTGGGAGAGCCAGGACTCGGCGCCGCGTGGCTGTGAGGTGACGATGATGATGATGTTTGTGTTTGTGCAGCTGCAGACGTTGAAACGCTGCTGACGGAGCGCGGAAATGTGCTGAAGCTGCTCCGCAGTGAGATGCTTCAGACGGAGGTCCGGCTGCTGTACGAGCTGCTGTACGTCCTGAACAACAGCTACCGGGGCAACAAGACGTTCAAGGCGCTGAAGCAGGTGAGCGCTGTCTCCAGGGCAACCGTGGGTGTGTTCATTAAGAGCTCAGGGCAACTCGGAGCGCGCCCACCTGAGCTCCGAGTCACGTACAGGTGTACCCGACAGCACGATCTGATATCGTCGTGTCGGTGTTGTTCCCAGATCAACATAGCAAGTGACCAATCAGAATGTTGTGACGTCATACTTTTGCGACTTCGGGAAAAACCTCCGTAAAACAAAAAACTGTACTGAAGCTGCGAGAAACCGCCTCTGTGCGCCGATCAACGGACCCTGACCCTTTAATAAACGCTGAGCAGAACTGATATTGTCCTTGCAACACTGGAATTTCATAAATGCACGAATGGCTTGGCGCGCCAAAGAATAACGTCACAACAATGTGATTGGTCACTTGCAATGTTGATCCTGGAACAACATTTTCATGATGATGTGGGAACAACACCGACACGACGACAACATGTTCCTCCTCCATGCAGCCAGGCAGCCTGTCGGTCACAGTAGGGATGGATGACGCCACGTCTGTGTGTCCTATACTGATGTCATAGATTTGGATACCGATATGACTCCGGTATAGTCTCCTTTTAGTCATAAATGTCATATTAA